AACTCTGTAGTTCAACCTGGTTTTCCTTGGTTGTGGAGAGTACAAGTTGGGTAAGGGTCTCCATAGAGGGACCTGTTCTTTCTGAAGGTGGGAGAGAATTGTCAGGAACTTGATGTTCCCAACAGACTGAAAATGATCCCGGTCATGTGCTTTCACCGAGCTGTAACTTTAACGTACGTCTTTTCTCTGCAGGTCTGGACAAGATTGAATTCCTGCAGAGCCACGAGAATCAAGAGATTTATCAGAAGGCCTTTGATCTGATTGAGCACTACTTTGGAACAGAGGATGAAGACAGCAGCATTGCCCCACAGGTGGATCTTAGCCAGCAACAGTACATCTTCCAGCAGTGTGAGGCTCCCATGGAAGGCTTCCAGCTCTGAGGTGCCCCTGTGCTGTGTGCTCCTCTACCTAGCCAATCCTGTTGTCGAGCCACAAGCCACCCGTGGAGTGATTCTCTCAACGTTTTCCATAACCCTGTTTGCGCTCATTCGCTTGCCTTGTGCACATGCTCTTACATACGTCTGGAAAACTTTTGGCTCTCCGTGGCAGGATGCCCCCTCCTTGGCAAGGGGTTGCCAGAATCACCTTTCTCCTCTAGATTCTGAACCTCTCCACTGTCATCTGCGTGGAGTTGAGGCACCTTTCTATACTTTGAGATATTCCCTGCTCCTATTACAGGAAAATAATCCCTCCTCCACTAGCCCCCACACTCCTGGCATCCAAGATAAGGCTACCTTTCTCTTCTATTTGCTGCAGTGTGTGCCTGCAGTCCAGGGAGACACTCAGACTTTCTGAGAACGTAGCTGAATTCATTCCCCGTATTCTTCCCTGGATGCCTCTTTGGATGGCTGTGTGAGATGCATTAAATCTTCACATGCAATGTATCTACTTTGCTGTATGTGCCAGCTGGGGTTATTGGCATATGGAACATGTTACAAGTAATGGAATAAGTTCTCTATCCCCTGCAACAACAGGCTGCAATGGACATGTTTTCTGGTTCTTAGGAATACTGAACACACCTGGCCCCATCCCTTCTCAACACTGAGCTCCCAAGCTGGATTGCAGACCACTGTGGAGATTTGTATACCTTCCCAGTTTTTCCTCTCCATCCACAAAAAAAGAGCCTGTGAATAGGTCACTCTTACACCTCCCTAGAAACGACTTTCCAAACCAGCTTCTAGAATGGAGAAACTACCCGCACTTCTGCTTGCCAGCACAGTATGATCCAGTCGGGCCTTCCTTAAAAATCAAGCCCTTTCTGACTTCATGCTCCAGAGTCTGGTCTTTGGTGTTATAGTTACGGCTGAAAAATTCCTGTCTGCCTCTCTACATTTTTACACAGCGTGACTTGAACAGATTTATCTTCTGAAAAATTACCTTCTGAATACAGAAATCTTAATTTGTAAAACTTAGCACAAGGAGCGTTAGATCTCCTTTTTACAAGACAAGAGCTTCCTCTCCAGCTCACCTGATAAAATAAAGAGTCCTCCCAGTCAAGCCCCTTATTTAACAACTAAAATGACACTACATTCAAAGGATAGTACTATTACACCCGGATCCACCTGGCCCTTTCATTTCATTTTTCCCTTTTGCTGTTTATGGGACTTCAGGTGAATTAGCATGGAACGCATGGTTCCTACAGGTGACATCTATAAGGCATCGCTGACTGCATGACAGCTGTCATCCGCAGCTGTAGACTGCCCTTCTGCTAGCAGCATGTTCTTGGCTCCGCAACCTGCTTGGATCACAGACATCTGATGCAAAGGCCAGCCACTCCTCACTGAGTTCAGCTGACATTGACACCAAACTCTTCACACAACTGGGGAGATGCCATGTGATTGAAAGTGGCGGTTCCATTTCTGTAAATGCAATGGATTCTCCAGGCCGTCCGCTCCCCCCTGCATCGGGCTATGTTCTTTCAAGCCATTTTGGATGCTTGGAACACATATTTGTCCAGTGTAAACATTTCAAAATCGCCACTGACAGCTGCAGCGTCATGTACCTGTGGTAAAAGTCAGTGGCAGAACTGTCTGCAAGATCCTCCTTATGACTCCTCTCAGTGACAAGCCACTGCAAAAGCAAAACCAGCCCATTGGATACAGAATAATAAAAAGATATAAATCACTTGTCAAACTGCTGAAAGAAGCTAGGCAAAGGCCTGAACATCAGCTCTGTGTGACCATTATTTAAATACAGTCTTCAGTTCTGTCTGTGCTTCAGGATGGAGACTCTGACCTGTGTGGCCACTGCAGAAGCCACCTGCTGCCTCCCTAGCTAAGCCAGTTGGCCTCCACCTTCCCTCTCCCAGTTATTTTCTCTAGTGCTGCTTTGTGCTGAAGGAACATTTAGTTTACTGCACTTGATCTGTAAATGGACTTCGATTCTTTGTAATTTTAGGGGGTTAAATTTGGTGGTTAATTTAAAAAAAGCAAAAAACCCCTCAATGTTGCCTTTACATCACATATAAATAACTGTGTTTCTCTTTTCTTGAAGGGTGATAGAAGCACTGATTAGTAGCAAAATCTTGTTTTAGCTTTTGGATTTTTTTGTGCTGGATTTTTTTACGTGTAAATTTCCAATAACATGTCATTTCTATAAGATTTGTTTAAAATCATGTACCTCTTATTGGATGGTATAAAAATGCTACATATTTTGTAAACAAATCTGAGCAAAGTGTGTGTGCATATATTCTGTATATTCATATATGTATATTCTGTGTATATATACACTAGTGTGTATATATACATATATACACACACACGTATATATATACACACATGCCTATGTGTGTATATATATACATATCTATATATCTATATATCTATATATATATAAGTGTTTTCTCTTCCAGGCTAGTGAAAACAATGTGGTGCATTGGCGTTTCCCTCCCCTGCCCCCCAAGAAAATAATGACAATTGCCTCTAAATGAGTGAATTAAAAAAGAGTCCATTTAAGCTGAATGGTGTGCCTTCCTGTGTAAGGAGCCTGGCCAGTGTTTGTTACTTTTGCCGTGGATATGTGAATTCAGAGCAGATAAGTATAAATCTTTAAACTTGGTATGTTTGTTTGAAGTGACAGGCCTGGTTGACACAGGTAATATTGTTGTCATATATACTTAGACTGTGTAAGGCATTTGACTGGTACTGCGTAATATTTTGACTGAAAACTAAACCAATACAAAAATCAACATGGCACACATTAAATGGATTAAAATGTGGCTAACTCATAGGTCTCAATTTAATTTTAAATGGTGCTTAATTGAGTGTATTTCTATCAGGACCTTCCAGCAACCAGTTCTTGGCCTTGCTTTACTTAGCCTTATTAATAGGTTGAAAAGAAACAAAATCTACTTCTAACAAAGGCTGCAAATTATATGAGTATGGAAGGGAGATCAGACTTGTGAACTATGAAGGGAACAGCTCGCTGATACAGACTGATCAGAATTACTTGGTAAGCCAAGGGCAAGTAAACTATTTGCATTTTAATAGAGCCAAATGTGTAGTGTAACGTTACCCATCTAATAAATAATGTTCAGGCCACAGGTGAAGGACTCTGTTTTGGAGGAAAAGCACTGCTGAAAGAGTATGAGGATCATTATACGTTACCACTTGAACGCTACTTCCTAACACGATTCTGTGCGGCTAGTGTAACGCTCACAGGTACAAAAAGAAGTCTTTAGCAGAAATGGGGAATTTGCGTTAACTCTGTGTTTGGCATTGGTGAAACTCTTTTTTTACAGGAACGCTCTCGGTGTTGCTATCAGCAATTAAAAAGGGATGCTAAAGAATTTGGAACAGCAACGACTGTAAAAATGTTGCAAGTTCCATTCAGTTGAGAAGTGAGGTACTTTTTTATTTTAGTCTGACATGAGAGTAAGGAGGGTTATGTCCCCTGCTAGAAACATTGAAACCATTATTCTCTGCTTTCCTGAAGGATGTGCTGCTGCTCAAACAGGAACTATCTCAGACAATGCCTCTAGCTTCCACTTTTGTGTAGGTCACACTGTGTTTTGAATGATCCATTCTTGTTCTGTGTCTAAGTAGGAGGCAGTGTGGTCTCATGTAGAGGATAGGGCAGGGAGCTGTTGAAGTTCTTGGGTTCTTCGCTCTGCCATGCAGTGTGTAGTGCCAGAAAAGTGATCTCACATATCTTCTTCTTCCCTTTTCCTGAAAATTGAAATGAATGCATTTGTTTCTGTCTGCTTCTGGAGATCATATCTAAGCACCTTCCAAAAGCCCCACAGGCTGGTAAGGCAAAAAGATTCATGACAGCCAGGAATCTCTTGACTACTTCTTGCAGCATCAGTAATGAGGTGGCACTATTACGCTCAGGTTTTAACAATGGCTAATTTTAAACTGGGCGTTAGAGAAAGGAAGGATGCAGGACTGCCTGGAATTGCTGTCAGTCAGTCCTGTCTGCAGCCCTGTAGTGCCTTTTAAGCTGTGTATTTGTTGGGGCAGCAAAGAGGAGCTATCATTCTTTCTGTTGGTAAAGTTCCCAGTGGAACATGGCAGGCAGGGTCACTCTCTTGGATTCAGGATACAACAGATGATGGGGCAGAAGGTTATGGAAAGCTCAATAACTAAACCAGGACCAGTGCTTGGGGCTCCTGGGAAAACACCACACACGCAAACAATCATTTGAGGCAACTGCTGCCTAGAGACTTCAGCCTGTTCTTAAATTCCTGTGTTGGTTCCTTCATGCCAACCAAATACTGGTGGTCTAAGTCCCTTCACTTAATCTTAAAGGGAGGGAGGAAGGCAATGACCCTGGAAAACCTATGTGTTCTTCAACCTGCATTTTTTTTTTAACTGTCAGCACTGAGACTGTTGAAGAATCTAATCGTACCACCCAGTCCTACTTGTGACAGTGCTCCTGGCGATATAGCTCCATGCTTCTCTGAGGATTTCCAGAATAGCTATCTTACCTCTGTGCAGTTTGCATCTCTGTGCCAGCTTTAAGTAATTCCCCATGTCTCCCAGTATGATTTCTTTGCTTCTGGAATTGGCATGACTCATCATTAGTGCTTTCCCATGCCAGTTTTAGCCAGTAGACATGAAGGTCTTTCTTTAGATGCCTGAGCCTTAGTAGAAAAGTAAACAAGATCTCTTTGTGTGCTGCTATGGCCATGTCCATAGGGCTCCTGCGTGCTCTTCTGAGGCAGTGTTCAAGTTGTCAGATTAATCATTGCATTAGGAAGTTTCTGTTGCCTTTGGAATAGGTACAGCAATCTGGCATATGGTATAGGATTGATTATTTGCCTTTTTTGAATAAATGTGAATGGTCTTGCAGACCAAGCCAAACGGGAGAAAGAAAATGAAATACTGTTTAAGGGTATTAGTATGTTCCTCTCCATCAGGCACTGTTAAAAGGCTGTAGGCTAAAGCTCTGAGCTAATCAGGTGGTCCAAGGTGTATTAAGTAAGTTCTTCAGTCAGCTAGACTGGCTGCTTAGGTCAGAAATGCGTGCTGTTTTTTTAACCATTGTCTGTGTTTAGAAGTGCTTTCTTGGAAGCCATCGCACTAGGAAAGAGGTGGTTTCTTTCACTGCCTCTCTGAGAAAGATTTACATCATTTTTCTGGTACCCAACTACTTGGAAAGAAAATACTGCAATGGTTGGGAGTGAGCTGGAGACAGCACAAAGCCCAATGGCTCAGGCTTTTATTTGAGACTCTGGAGCCTACATGGAAGCTGAAAAAAAACACAAAGGTGTGCAGTGATGCACAATTTTTATGGTAGATACTGAAATGGTGGTGATACCAGAGTGATAGAAGGAAAGGGTGTATGGCTTCCACCTGGAGCGTTTGAACTTATAGAAATTTAAGTGAAATGCAAAAGTGGTGACCATTGCTGCTCTGAAGTGTTGCTTTCTAAGTGGTATTTTACATATTTTTATTTGAAATACTTTACCAGCTGGATGAGTCCGAATAGTTTTATTTCCAAAACTAGATGAGGTACCTGTCCGTTCGGTTCACAGAGTGCACTCAGGTGCTTACTGAAAGGGGCATACTTTTGAGATGCATGCTTTTAAGCTCTGCCATCACCAAGCATAAATCAAATCACAAGTTTCTCTTCGTGGTAACCTGCAATATTGTCTGAAGTGCATGTTCTCCTTTTTGGTCTCATTTAATACATATATGAGCACAGGCACACAAATTTGGGAAGATGTTTTTGGTTCCCACCTGTGTGCCTACTGGTGTGGCAAAGAACCAGAGCTGTCATGGAAGATCTGTTCACATACCTGCAGTGGAATGAAGTGTGACTTGCATTCAGTGCTAAATGAGTGGACAAATCTGTGGAAGCCTGCTCTGCTTGCTTGATGTCATACTTGCAATAATTGCCTTACAGAGAATCTGACGACAGGTTGTGGCATCACCTTAAGGTCATAACTTCTGTGGTGGAATGACTGCACAGCTTGTTTGATTGGTTATATCTCATCAATATGAGTGGTACCCAGAAATGCAATTAATAGAAAGATGGACTGCAGCAGCTATTTTCTACCTCTAGAGTAAAAAGCAAAGTACTAGAGAGGACTGACTGCACTAGATACTGCTTCTTTTCCAGGTGTAAAGACAAGATTTACTCTGCGTTTTTGTAGGGCTTTTAATTTATTCAGCAATAGTGCTAATTTTTAGTAGTACAACAAAAATAATCAGGAAAAAGTTTCAAGAAAAATAATTTGCCTCCCACTATCAGGAAGCTCACAAACTAAATCTGTCAAATCCATCTTCCCCTTCTGCTTCTGGAGTCCCCTGGGCCAGTTAGCAGGCAGTCCTGGGAAATAACATAGTTTCGAGCAGTCCTGACGGTTCCAATCTACGTTTCCTTCCAAATGAACTGAAAGGAGGAGGAAAAATACTGTCTCCAGTTGCTGCAGGCTGTTCAGCATGAACATTATGTGACTCTTCTGGGATGAATGCCAGAAATAGGACTGTTGGGAGTTGCTTTTTGCAGGTATTACTGGGTCTGCTACTTCTAAAACTTCAGGCAGACGATCTTTTAAGTGGGCTAGTATCATGAAAGCACACATGATGATTTAAAAGGGGGGGAAAATGCAACTAAATCTAACTAAGGTTTGGAAAAAAGAGCTTAGCAGCAGAGAGCAGGAATGCCTGATTGACTTTTTCATACTCCTGTGCCTCCAATGAATAAATCTGGTAACACAGGTTGAAGCTGTTGCTCAGTATTCCTCAAAATAATAATCTCTGTTCCCTTATATCAGACATTCTCTCAACTCACTACCAGCTCTGGTGTAAAAACCCTAAAAACCCTTAGGCTGTCATCTGCAACACACTGGTTCTCTGCAATGCCATTTCACTTTTGATCTCCCTCCTCTTTTTATCAAAGGCAGGCAGTTCTTCACAAAAAGTAATCCTTTACTTAAATGCAGCCAGAATATATTGGACCTAGACCAGGTAAGCAGACTTTTTAATAACTTAACGATCATTTTGATGATGTTAATGCAGGTCACGCAATCATTCTTGACTCAAGGGCTCCCCAAATAACTGTTCTCTCTTGCACAAAGAGGAACATACTGAATATTTGAAGCAGCCAGTAACAATATAGAATACATATAGCACCATTCTTCCTGAAGGAACCTTGGAGGGACCTGAAATAGTCAGTGATAGCAGATGACAGTCCAGTGAAGGTATTTTTTATGTACAAGTGGAAACCAAATAGGCTGTCCTTTTGTGTCCCACTTACATTCTCCTAAGTAAGTGGTTAGTAAGAGCGTGAGACTTCATAAGAGAGACTGGTACCAAGAATGCAGGTACAACTCCTGCAGTCTTTTAAAAGACACTTAGTCTAGTGCATAGCACATGTGAGAAACAACTATTCTGTCTGTCCAGTTTGCTCACTTGTCCTGTTCCACTAACCAGGAAAAAGAGACTTAGGAAGAAAGGGGAGGTTTTTAGAAAAAGAAAATAGGCATTTCTGGTTTTATTAATTACAGGATAATGTATTCATTCTTTCTTGAACATGAGAGTACAGAACTAACATACAGGAAAGATGTGACTATACCCGCCTTCCAGTGCTGAAAAGGACTCAGCTTTTCTTTCCCAGTCCTTGGTCTCTTCATTTTCTCCTCTAAGATTTAGCAGATGTACTCCGAGTAGCTTCCTCTCTCCATTGAGCTTTCTTCTCCAAGTTTATGCTTGTAAGAGATTCATTCCTTTTTATAGCCTACAATATAATGACAAAGCAAGAGCAGAAGGTATGACCTAAAGGACCACAGAGATGAAACTTGAATCAAGTTTACAAAATATCTGGCCTATCCTTACCAAGGCATAGTTCTGTCAGCTTTAATGCCAGGAAGAGACAGGGTTAAAATAAAACATCCAGAGACTATTTTGGCTTAAACACATTACTTCTCTGGGAATAAATTAAACCCTTTTGTTAAGGCACTAGAAGATATATTCTGTGCTTCTGGTCAGTATTTAATACTAATCTCTCATCTTCAGAAGTCAAGAGGTACTGGAAACAAATCAAAAGTTAAACTTAATAGATTCCAGCTGCTGTGAAAACAAGGGTTCCAAAGCAGCTGTCCTCCTCTCTTTCTGCTGTTTGCATTCATACTACTACAATGTAAGAGGAAAATGTTCTGGGAATTGTCAGTGTTTGATATCTTCTGCTAAAGCCAGTGAAAAACCTTTCCACTGTTTTGTTTCAGAGTGCTGCATCCTTTTCATTTTGATAGGTGAATGCTGACACAAATGTCGCTTGACACTTAGTAGTTCGCAGTGCTGAGGCTGAGACTGTTACTAGTTTTAAGGTTTCTCTAGCACCCTTAGTAGTCTACAGAAACAAGTTTGAACATTGTGATCACAAGAACTGCTTCAGAGAAAGGCAGCATACAAATAAGGTTCTGCCCATCCATGTAGGTGCTTTAAGCTTAGGGTTTTCTGCTTCCAGTCATCCTTAAAAGAATGTAGTGGACTGTGTTTCTGTTACCACTGTGCTTTTTATCCAAAGTAACATGACAATAAGCTGCACAGATTATATTCACATTCCTTGACTTTAAGACTAATGCTGCCAAGACCTTGGCTTCAGTATACAAAAAGCGCTCCTTGCTTCTTTACAGAAATACCTCGAAGTTAATAGTTCACCAACTGTGTTAAAAAACACATAAAATTAAAGCATGACTAACCTTTGCTGCACTTGGAATCTTAAACTTTACTCTCTTCATATGATGCAAATTAAATCATAGACCTAATTCTGCCACATACTGAACTTCGTTGATATCTTGTCAAATTCTATGTGAGGGATGCTCAGCATCTGCAGGACATGGGAGCTTTTCTATGAAATAGTTTTTCAATTCAACAAACAATAATTTGAGAAAACTTGTTCCATCCACACTACAGGAAGACTATTTTCTAATGCAATTAAAGGGCACAGAATTATTACTGACCATCTCCTCACTGTTTAAAAGACTTTTGAAAATTCTCAAGCCTGTTTGTGGAGAAACATACTCATTTGCTATTTCCATTATATTGATTCTATGAGTGTTGCAGCATGTAGAGAGGCATTTGTAACAGGTCCATACAGTCACTGTATGGGCCCCAGTGGCACAAGGAGCATTTACCTGCCTACCAAATCCTTACCACAGAAGGTGCTCTTTCCTTCCAAACTCTCGCAGCCCGTCAGGAAAATCAAGGCGTTAAAACAGCGCAAGCTAAAATTAAGTATTGCACTGAGAAAAAAACCTTTTTTTTTTTCTTTTCCTTTTAAAGGAAGCATATACAGTCTTAACAGTGACATCACCCTTTTCTGACTTGAGAATTAATCAATGAAGGTCACTTCTGGGGAACTAGATAGACTTATTTTTAGTTTTTACTCAGTGATAAAATGGAAAAAAAACCCAACCAAACCCAAAACAAAACAGTACTAACAATCCATAAGAGGAACTGAGGAGTTCATGTGAAGATTGATTTGCACTCACCAGCCAAAAATCTGTGCTTACCTGCTTCCCTTTAATCACCATGACTATGCATCCCAATATTGTCAAGGCAATCATTACATAGCTGATCTTCACACGCAGTGTGGTCTTTGCTGCTCTGATTGTTTCAATCCTCAAGAAATAATAATAAAAGAACAGACTCATTATGAGAGACCCAAATAAATCATTTGGCTAATTGTTTAATTTGTCCTAGCATGCTCTCTGTAATTTGTATAATGCTAACAGTACTTGGCTCTTTTCACAAAAAGGTTTTAGAAGAATGGGAAAGGCTTATCCCCAGCTACCTTGGGAGATACTTGGTCACAAAGGCATTCCTTTCAAAGTTGGAAACAAACCCAACATTTTTAACTTCAGTTATATAATTGTTAAGAGACAATATTGCCTTTCCAGACCACTGGACTGCAACGCAAAGGAGGAAGGCTGCAGTATTTGAGTATGGATGTTCATTATGGAGAGGACAGGAAAAAGAGAGGGAAGGTTTTACTAATACAACGTTTTTCTTAATGTTAGCTCCCTCTGTGCTCACTACCACCTTCCAGTATCTGCAAAGCCATCCATATTAGAACCGTGGTGTATTTAACATTGTTAAAACATGCATTTTCGCTCGATAGCAGAATCATGGTAAAAAACATTTGTCAGCAGGAATAAAATACATAGTGTTTAACAGTTGGGAGTTTCTTGGGCAGATGGAAGCATTATCACAGCTTAATTCTTTCTGCCTGAACTTCAAAATAGTTTCATTTATGACATAGTCTATATTTTCAAGCAGGAAGGCTTCCTCTACTACAGGATTTCATCATGCTATAGATGACATACTGGCTGCTGAATGTAATACTCCTCCGAAATTCTGAATAGGACTTGGTAAAAGACTAGTGATTACCACTTCCCTCCTGCTAGAGTAAATAGTCTTAAGGTAATCTAAGGAGTCATGGAGGATTGTAAGCTTTCCAACATCAGCTTTGGACAGAGGACCCCTTTAAATCTTTCTGGTTTTTATTTCAGGGGGCTTATCTAGCCACACCAGTAGCTATACTACTCCTTTGGGAAACCTGTTGCCTAGTCTGCTGTTATCTTTTAAAAACCAGAAATGTTCCACAAGAAGAGTATCAGTTATTAAAGCCTTCCAGCTGCACATGTGGTGAGTCAAAACAAAAAAATAATTTATTTTAAGTTGGGTTAAACTCTGAAGATCATTCTACCCAAATGACATCTCAGTTAGTTACAGCAAATTTAAAGTTCGTATTAGAGATACCAATACAAGAAGGGCCAGTGAAGCATAATGATTTTAGAAGTGCTTTCCACAATAACCAAAGACCTATATACCCTACATGTGTAACTCCCCTTGCAGAATTTAGAGCAGTTGACTCCCTTCTCAAGGGTCTAATATTCTCATTGATTAAATGTGGCATATTATAAAATTACAGATGACTAGAAAAGCATCAACATCATGTGATGAAAGAATAAATGCATGAAACTAGGTAACTATACCCCAGACTAGCATGGATAGTGGATTTAGTGGAACTGGGAAATTACCACTGTACAGAAACATGAGTGAATATGGAATCTTTTACCACATTTTGACCCTTGTACTTGGAGGAAAAAAGATACCGAAGGATCCATGATAGTTCAACATGGTAAATCACATAGGACCTGAGAATCGAAGAGAGTTTTGTCCTTGTTTTTGAAGAGGAGGGCAAGAGTGATTTGATCACTGTTTCAAAGTATTGATACAAGATTTCTGATCATAGGGAACATGTCCATCTGCCATGAAACTAATAGTTAAATTTAGCTTCCAGTTTATTTGTTTCTGGTAATAATCTGCAATGAACAAATTGGGCGCAGGCTGCAATTAAGCTGAAATGCACAGAGTGGGATTTAAAAACTTCCTTAGTTAATTTTTTTAAGTACCTTAGATGTGTTAGAGTATACAAGAGGAAAAGGTAGTTATCTGGACACAATTTGCATTTTAAATCAATTCAGTGGCTAAGATGAACATTTGTTTAATAAATGAGTTACTTCTGATCACCACATCTTGCAAGATTACCAAGTTATATTGCAAGCCCTTACAACCCACTCTTAATTCAGCTCAGAACAGGAAAACAAGCTTTTGTGCTTTTATAGTTCTCAATCGTCTTCTCAGATTTGGCTGAACTATTTGCTTAAATAATAAAAAAAAAGAATTCCCTATGCATTTGCAAAAATGGTCAGCTTTTATCAGAAGTTGGTTTGTCCTTTCAATAAACCATTGAAATGACTTGAATCGCTCTGCTAACTCTGTTTTCTTAAACACACTCATAACAAGTGTTTGGTGTGCAAAATACATGAACTGACAATGTAGTAAAGTTTTAATAATTTACACCTTTGTGTATTTCAAATGTAATTTTAAGAAAAATGATTCAATACAAAATTGAAGAATTCTTTTTTAACAGTATTTATCCATTGTGATACATTTAGAAAAAACTTAGATACATGGGTGGATTTTCAATTCCTGTATGGTGCATCCAAACAGAATATCTTCAGAGGCCAGCTACATAGTTTGCTTACCCAAGTAGTACAAGATTTACTGTATCTTTTTAATGTAAATAAATACATATATTTAAAAGCATTACAAGCATGTTTAAATAACTATACTACCACCAGGAACATTTTTTAAACTAATAATCGCCTGTTGTTGTTAAGTTTGATCTTCATTTTAGATAGACAAACTAGAACATCCAGTTTTATTTTCTACTTTTCACACAGGGCAAAGCATTGACATTTGGACTTCGCCAGCAACAGGGAAATTTTGACTATATATATTTTTTGTTAGGGAGCCTTTCCACTGTTTGTTAGTTTAGATTGCAAGAGTAAAGAAAGTTGGCCCATGCCCTCTAGACATTCATTAATAAATATTTTAAATGAGTTTCAGTTATTTTATAGCTGTATTGTGAAAGCTGCACACAATGGGAGACTGACATACAACGAAAAGCACTAGAAAAAGCTCACTAATATTCACAAAAAGCTTTTTTGATTGGCAGAGAAGAGTAAAAATTAACTGATTTGTGATGTTTTTCTAATGAAACAACTGATAGATGCTGGTCATCCCTTCAGAAAAAAAATCAAAAGGGATATATTATCTCAGCAATACAGAATTGCTCAGGTCATCTCATCTACAAGATGATACACCAAACAAAGCAGTGTAAGATTTTTCAGCTGTGAAAACCCATTCCATTTAAGAAAAGTTATTCTGGAGTTACATTCAAGTAACTTAGTCCTGTGTAAACAACGTCTCTTTTACAGCTTCAAAAACTGGCACTTACGAGACAGTCTCTGGTATATCCTCTGGTTTTTTGAAATGGCCTGCCCACAACAAAAATCTTTTCTCCCAGTCTGTAGGCTTGTGTCCAGGCACCCTCAAAGGAGACCGACCTAAAAAAAACCCCAACGAAATGCACAAACAAACAAAACCCAAAAAACACCAAAACCAACAGTCAGAGAAGCTGAATTGCCACAGCTGTAATGAGACCAATTAGGGTAAGCAATGCAGAATTTTAAGTAAGATTGCTAGAGTTGGTTAGGGAACCAAAAGTATATCACAGTCAGATTAACAAGCCTGTAAATATGGACTAAACTGAGGCCATATAAGGAAAGCCCAATCTTGCCCAAGACCTCCATATTTGTAGCTCTAAATTTGTAGAACCTGCTCCAGCATCTAAGCTTCCTAAGGTGCTGTGATATTACAGTTTTCCTATTACATTTAAATTAGTTAAAAAAAAAATAAAATCAAATGGAACTGCTACAGAAAAGCCAATAAGCTGCACCATGACATCACAGAATGTTAACTTTTCCAGGCGATGTAAGATTTTATCTTATCTGGAGGTATAAACAAACAGATGACCATAGGCAAAGATTAGTCCCTTAATTTTCAGCTCAGTCTTTCAAACTTCATATACAAAATATTCAGAATGTAATGGGGGAAGGTTTCTGTACATAATATACCATTAAAATCTAGCAAACAAAGTGTAAAGATAGACAGCTTTTTTTCTTTTTTTTAAACAATGGGAGGTATCCTGCATGGATGTGTGCTGCCTCATGGATTCATGAATTATCTAGGAAGTAGGGTGGATACACAGTTTGCTGACAACACTACGTTATTCAAAAACATAGAGAAGAGAGCTATGTGCAAAGAGCCGCAGGGCTTCAGAATCCCGAGTCCATGAGATGGCCAGTGAAACCCCCCCGTATATGAACAGGAAGCAATTCCAGTTCACATACAAATGGCAGACTCTAACCTAACCATTATTGCTCAGGAGTAAGTCCTCGGGGTTTCATGGGGTTTTTGGCAAAATGTTCAGTAATAGTGAGAAAGGGAAACAGCATTACTAGCAATGATTAGGAACACAGACCAACACAAAAGCATTACTACGCCATTGTATAAAACCGTGACTCCAGCATTTTGAAAAGCATGTGAAATACTGATCCCTCATCTCAGAAACAGCTGAAATAGAAAAGGCACAGTGAAAATTGGTAAAGACGACCACAGGTAGGAAATGGCCACCATAAAAGAAACAGTATCATAGACGGAGACCCTTTGGCCTGGAAAAGCAGTAACTGAAGCTCCCTCCAGCACAACAGAGGGCACCAGAATCAGAAGTGACATTAGGAGTGTAAGTTACAACGAACAGGTCCTGTTTTGGAAGGGGTCCTCAATCAAGGAACATCAGATTGAAAAAAGCATGCCATCAGGTTCAAAAACACAGGACTGTACTTGTTTTCTCACAGCATGGTTCAGCTGAGGAATTCCTTCTCAGAGATCAAGGATGCTAAAAATATGTCCAGACTGGACAGATTTATGAAAGAAAAATCCAGTGAGGACCATTAAACACAAAGACGCCACCTCTGGGACAGCAGTCTAGGGGAGAAACACTATGTTTGCCCTCTTTCTATACTCTTCCTTAGATCCTTGCTATTGGTCGCCATTCCTATTATTCTTTGCAAAAATGTATGGGGCCTCCTTTACTGGCCACTACAGGAGACATCACACCATTATGGAGACCTTTGGTCTTACCCAGTACAGCTGCGTTATGTTTTTAACAGAAGTATGCAAAATGCTTCACATCTGTATGCTCCTTTTATTCTAGCATCAGTAGGCCATGAAGGGAATCTGTTATACAGGAAGTCTGATTAGAGCATTGTAACTGTCCCCTATATAGTGAAAAAATGTTTCATGGCCTGAGCTTTACTTGACCAACTCCACCCTTAAACATGAACCAAGCCAATGATTCAGACTGACTCCCTCCTGCAGGACATGTTCAATTTTGTGAACAACTGGAGTTGGTTGTACTATGAAAAACTGCAGAAGTATTTTAGCTCGTACAACATTCCTAAACATCGGTAGTTTACATTGGGGTTGAACAGTCTGTTCTAGAGCACAGCTGAAGAGCCTCAGCGTAGGACTGCACATCAGATAAGATACTAGTGACCTGCTACAAAGTGAAAGATGTGTTATTGTCACAAGAAGAATTATTGACCCCTGGCTTTGTTAAAAACCAGGATTTTATTGCTAAATTTAGTGCTCAGTTTTTCAGTCTAAGGATCAGAATTCCCTCTCACAAAATCAGGAATATTAGCATCTATGTCAGCCAAATTCCTGTTCAGATGACTGCAGCCGGGATATCTAAGTATTTCGTGGCACGAAACATAGCACGACTGTTATCAAAACCTCTTACTTCTTGGCTGAAGTTGACTTTGTTCCTGGGGTTTAATGCAAAGCCGCCTGCTTATCTTCGGATCCACTCCTTTAGTCATCCTCAGAATTGAGGGAATATTTCTTCCCAGCAGTTTAACAGCCCTATCTGGAAGAGAAAGCAGAGGAAGCAAAGGGGCCAAATCTAACTCAGAATAGTAGAGAGTGAGAATACTACTAGCTTTTAAATGGAAGTGGTTGATTTTTTTAAACACAAGAGAAAGAATAAAGAAAAACAGTAGGTACAAATCTAGTATTATGCAAGAAGCACCAGATTTAGTTGTAACAGAGCCTACCAAAGAAATTAAAGTTTGTCTATAAGCTATGACTTGAGCTTGCCCATTAACCTTATTTCAAAAAATGGGAATGCAAGATTACAGCCTACAAGCAGTTTCTAAACCACAACGCACATCACAACTTCAAGGAATTTATCTATTCATATGCTGCAGATATACTTTGGGCACTGCAATTTTAAGGACCGCACACCAGCATTCTACCAATCTTGTCACATCCCAAAAGCGAGTCGCAGACTTGACAGTCAAGAAAAAAGCCAAAAAAAGCAAAATCTTGTCGTATTGAGATACCTACTTTGTAGTGTATTAGAAAAGGACAGGGCACCTTATCTATGAAAACATATTCTCAAGAAAGAGCTTCTAATTCATTAATTAATAGAATGAAAAAATTCTGAGGGGGAAAAAATACTTTGAAAGGCAAAAGGGGACTTTTAAACATAGAAATTGACTTATTTTTTCCTTCCTTATGCTAGCTGAAAACGTCTCTCCTACGAGAAACAGCTGCCCTTTACATTCCAGCTCTGAAAAAAACAAAACAAAAACGTACATTTACAGCCGACCCACCTCCCCAAACGAAACCAGCCGGCCTTCAAGCCTTAACACCCATCGGACACGGACGCTTCACCTCAGCCCTGCCACACCGCCCGGGGGGGGGGGCCCGCCACCTCCGGGGGTCCCCCCGGGCCTCCTCAGGCCCGACAACGCC